ATATTATATATTGATATTAAAAATATATAATCGAAAGCTTTAACATTCTGTAAAATTTGATATTAGAGCGCATTGAAATAAAATCGGTCAAAGAAAGGTAAATGGAACTATTGGGAATTGAGCACACAAAAATATATTCCTACATTTATAAAACGGTCCTAGATCATTCGTCTCTTTTAAAAAAGATGGAAGAGAAAACGGAACAAATGGAAGTAGAGCCCTTTATAGACATTTTATAGTAATGCTGATATTAAACAAAAACCAATGTATTCACTTGTTAGAGAGAAAGTATAGTACTAAAATAGTGCAACCTTAAACAAGCATAGTCAAATCAAATTTTATAACTTCGATATAATCAAATTTTAAGGAACTTGCCAAAAAATAAAGGAAAACCTAATCAAAAATGTAATTTAATTGTTATTAATTTTGCAACTTCTATATCTGATAATAATTGCTATACCTTAGCCTGGGCAAATGTTGAGACTATCGAATAGAACCCTTATAACTAATCTTGATTGAGATTTAGAATGTTTCAGTCATTCTATATATTGTATTATATAATGATAAGTGAGCTTTATCAAAAAACTTACCGCATCCACTGAACTATGCACACTACGTCCCACAATCAGCGGTCCGCTAGTCTGAACATTTTCTCTGACTTCGTTGGACTTCTGGCTGGCAACGAAGCTGCCAAAGGTGGCGTATTGCAGCAGTTGATCCGCATCCGATGGCTGGGCGAAGGAAATGGGCGCCGGCGCATCGTCCATTGTGCCCTGACCGGGTGTGGCCAGATAGACAATCTCTTTTTTGTGCGTGAGCATATGCAGCGTGGATTGCGCCTGAAAGTCCACATTGATGGAGCTCTGCTTGGGCTGGCGACGCGGCAACCAGACCAGGCCATGCAGCTTGGGCAAATTGCTACGCTGATAGACGGGCAACGGCACATTTGGCTGGAAGACGTGCACTGTTGGAATGGACATGAAAAAGAGAGTGCATAGTATGAATCCTTGAATCCTTGATAGACAGCTGCAGTTACTCACATTCATCGTTGCGTGTGACGGCAGCTATCAGATTGGTGAGCGGATCGAAGGCCAATTGCCGCACGGAGAGCTTCAGGCCCGCTTGCAGACGGAGTGTCATTAGGTTCCAGATGAGCACACGCGACTCTGTGCAGACGGCCACCAGATGCGCCTGCGCGCCAGCTCCGAATTGCACATGCGAGATTTGGGCAACCGTCTGGAGTGGCGCTGCCTTTGTTGACAGCGACTTCTCTGACGTCGCTTCCCAGCGTTTTCGCTTCTTCGCAGACATTGGTTTGGCTGCCTTAGTGGTCTCATCCAGTTTCAGCACGCTGAAGAGGGGTAACAGTTCCTGCTTGACGACCTCTTCGTAGTTTTTCCGCCTGCCGCTGAGCCGTGTCAGCCGCAGTTTAGCCTTGAAGCGTTGTCGTGGCTGCAGCCGATGCAAACGCGCCTCTAACGTTAAGAGCCGTCGCTGCACCGCCATGGGATCCACCAGAAATTGTTGTAGATGCTCCTTGAGACGCTTATGGCATGCCTCGTGGACGGTGCATTTGATGCCGAAGCGACGCAACAGCTGCAGCTTCTGATGCAGTCCCAGCTCGGGCATTTGCATGATATGCTTGTACACAGACTCCTTGGGTATCTGTTCGCTGCTGGCCTTGGATTGACTGATCGGTGCACTGGACATCAGTTGGCGCGCCTGCTGCACCAGCTTCTGATCGTCGCTGTCGAGCAACGTTTGCAGCAGACTCCACAGCTTTTGCCGCTGCTGCGTGAGCTCTGTGCGCGTGCCATTCATGGGCATTGGCGCCAGACGCAGCTGTGCCTTGGCCACGACACCGTCATAGCCAGCCGATGTGCTCAGCGCGTGCAACAGTCGCAACGAGCGCGCATCATACAGCACCAGAGTACTGCCATAGCCTGCAGCCAGCAGTGAGCCATCCTGAGAGAAGCATATGGAGCCAAGCGCCTGCCGTTTGTAGCTCGCTTGAGCCGCACAGCTCCACATTTTGCCACGCTGGTAAATATTCTCCGAATTACCCAAAGTCCACAGTTTGATCACATTGTCTTGGCCAGCGCTGGCACAGCGCAAATTGTTCACCTGGAACTGATTGGAAAAGATGATGGCCTGGAAACCGTGCTCATGCGGCAGCTCTATATTTGTGTTCAGTTTGTAACTGCAAATGGAAGATACCAGATAATAATTGCTCGGGCTTATCTTAATTTCGATTTCAATTAGTTTACCATTGTAATTTTTCTTGGTATTGCCAAAATTTAAGTCGCAACTCCGGAAAGTTACGCTGATCATTATACTCCTCGCCCGTGACCATCCAATTTATGTTGAAGGCCGCCCGCGTGACGCACGTATTGTAGATGATGCGCTGCGCCTCCTGAGAGTTCACATTGTTGTCCACCACACGAAGCTGCCATAGAAGAATGTATAAAATTAATATTGAATTTAGTTAAAATACAAATTCCCTTACATTGTAGAGCATGCTCTTCGTATAGGCCGAGTAGAACTGCAAGTGTCCAATGCGTCCATTGAGCACCAGCGTATTGGTGCGTGGATTCAGACATAGGCCAATGGGAAACATGGTCTTGCCCGTCTTGTCGGGCAGCGCATATGTGAAATGCTGCAGCGTCGATTGCAGACTCCCCTCGCTGGGACTCACAAAGTGCAGAGCATTGTCATCAGTGCAGGCGAGCACATGCTCATTCCCGTCGCTGATCACAATGTGCCTGATAATGCTGGCCATGCGCGGCAGGAACTTTTTCTCATCCTGATTGCTCAGTGTCCACTTGACGAGCACCGCCTCATGGCCGGCGCTGTAGAAACTGATACCGGTGGGCGTAAACGCAATGCTCGTTACGGGCGTATTGTGCCAATGATGTTCGGTGCATTGTACACGCTCCTGATTGTTAAATTGCCGCCAGACGATGACCCTGCCCGATTCATCGCCCGTGGCTGCCGCCTCCTCGCAGGGACTCATGCGCACACATGTTATTGACCCCATATTTGTGTTCTTGAACCGCCAGAACTTCCACGTTGTATAGTCCAGGAAGTAGAGATAATAGCCCTGTGCTAGTATTATGTACTTAAAAGCGCCCTTGCCCACATCCACCAAGGGTGTCCGAACTCTGTAAAGAGAGAAAGCAACAGGTGAATATTAAAAAAATCAAAATAAATTTGATTTATTATGGCTATTTCTTTCCACTTATTTTTCTGTTGTTAATTGAACTTACTTTAATTTGAGGCCACATTGAATGTCAATGACGGCGCCTGTGTTTGTGTTGACCACATACCACAAAACCTGCTCGCCGCTCTTTCGCTTGGCCGTCACAATGGCGCACGCGGTGTCGCCTTCCTTGTACAGATTCAGCAGATTACACGTAAGTATTTGCAGACCTTCTGCACCCAGTTGTAGGTTCACATTCTTTTGCAGCACGCCGGTGCGCCAATGCCAGCGTAGCATTTGCCCTGTGCTGGTGCAGCCGAGCAGCAGTTCCGGCTGCTTCACATCGAGCTCGAGGCTTATCAGCGGCGCTGTTGCATCTGTTAGTTCACGTGTCAATTCACCTGTGCTGGTGACAAATACCTGCACTTTAAGGCCGCATCGCACAAAGACAAATCTAGGCAAATCATAAGGAAATTAAGTGTTTGCATTAATGCGACTTAAATGTGGTTTAAACTAACCTTCCCTGAGCAGAGAAAACGGGAGCATGTTCCACAATGTTGCCGCCCGCCAAATGCTGCAGCTCGAGTCTGTCCTCGTCATCGAAATTCATGGCTGTAACAACTCAGCAGCCTTTTGGAGCAGCTTTAACTGCTTATGAGCTTCAAAACAATTTAGTTTAAGCAATAATAACTTATTTTACACCAGGTATTTTCATACAAATTCACAAACCGCACGTGTAGCTGCTCTTTGCAGTGCTGCTAAACTCGGCGGCAACAACAGTGCTGTGAAACATGTATATGCAACGGAATGTGAAGCAGCCAACTTCGTTCGATAACAGCAATTGAGCGGGAAAATTTCGATCGTTTGAAATTATATAGCCATGGTTAGTCATTATGTTTAGCATTTAGCTCAATTGGTTAATTAATAAAAGCTGACAAATATGTATATAAATTGTGGGAAGTGAAAATGATGAATACAATGATACAATGAGAAAAGTGTGAGATTTATGTTTTCTATGGTGAGCAGACAAATCAAAAAGACGGGCTCGATAAACTGTAAGGGGTAACAAAATAAAAATTAATTTTTTCACATAATAACAACTTTAGTTTTTTTTATTTATTTAATTCCTATATTATTTAAATTTGCATAATGTAATTTTAAATTCTTAAATCCATCCCGCGCCGACTAATGATGTAAAATGTTGAACATTGCAGGCTGCATTATCGATTACCGATACTTTTGGTATTTTCCTGCTAGCACATTGCGGCCCA